ATGGTGAAAATTTATTAACTAATAAAACTGACATTGTTAATAAACTTGGTGACACTCTCGCCAAGCATTCATCTTCATCAAATTATGTCCCTGAGTTTCAAAAGTTTCAGAAACAACAGGAGAAGAAAAGATTAAATTTTAACTCAGACAATGGTGAAGACTATAACGAATTATTTTCGTTACATGAGCTCCATACTGCCCTTGAGCAAGCTCATGATACAGCATCAGGGGCTGATGATATCCACTATCAGCTCCTGAAGCATTTCCCCAAACCATGTTTGGAAACGCTGCTAAATATATTTGATATGATATGGACGACAGGGAATTTCCCAACTTCGTGGCGTAATGCCATTGTAGTCCCTATTCCAAAACCTGGCCGGGATCATACTGATCCGTCTAATTACAGACCAATCTCTTTGACGAGTTGTATCTGTAAAACCATGGAACGAATGGTAAACAATAGATTAACATAGTATCTTGAAACCAATAACCTTATAACCAATATTCAATGTGGTTTCAGGAAAACTCGTAGTACCATTGATCATTTGGTACGACTAGAATCCTTTGTTAAAAATGCAATAGTAAATAAACAACATGCCGTATCGATATTCTTTGATCTTGAGAAAGCGTACGATACCACCTGGAAGCATGGCATTTTGAAGGATTTACATGATTTTGGTTTGAAAGGCCGTTTGCCTCTTTTTATATAACAGTTTTTAAAAGACAGGCAATTTCAAGTCCGAGTGGGTTCAACCCTGTCTGATCATTACAATCAGGATCAGGGTGTCCCCCAAGGCAGTATTTTGTCTGTAACTTTATTTAGTATCAGGATCAACAGTTTATCCAATGTTTTAAACGATTCAATCGATGGATCACTTTTTGTGGATGATTTTAATATTTCTTGTCGTGGTAAAAATATGCATACTATTGAACGGCAATTGCAGTTGTGTTTAAATAAAATAAATAAATGGTGTCTTGAAAACGGCTTTAAATTTTCCATGTCTAAAACTAATTGTCTACACTTTTGTAGAAATATAAGCCCCATAAAGACCCGGAACTATCTTTAAATGGCACTCCAATCAATGTTGTCAAGAAGGCCAAGTTCTTGGGTCTAATTTTCGACTCTCATTTAACTTCTTTTGCCACAAATTAAATCCCTTAAAGCTAAATGCCTGCAGGCCCTTGATTTGCTGAAAGTTGTTTCCAACTCAAAGTGGGGAGGGGATCAAGCTACACTCCTCCACCTATACCGATCATTGGTCCGCTCGAAACTTGATTATGGCTCCATCGTATTTGGTGAAGCCTGCAAAAGCAACCTAAAACTACTAAGACTTGTCTTGGATCATTTAGAACTTCTCCAGTTGATAGTCTATATGTCGAGGCAGATGAGCCTTCTCTTTCCCAACGCCGTATTAAATTATCTTTACAATATATTACCAAATTATATTCAAACGAGTCTAACCCTACATTTAACTGTATCTTCAAACCTCTTTATGAGGATTTGTATAACAATAAGTATTCTCTTGTTCCGCCTCTTGGACACAGAATTAAACCATTTATTGCTGCTGCCGGAATTGAGCTGGAGAATATAGCTCCTTCTCGTCTTCTTTCTTCTCCTCCTTGGCAATTGGTGAGGCCAGACGTTGACTTAACAATAACCACATTTAAAATATCTGAAACTAATGATTTACAGTATAAACAAGAATTTAGTCAATTAAGAAATAAATATAATACGTATAAATCCTTATTTACAGATGGATCCAAGGATGGTGGCGCGGTGGCATGTGCCACTGTCATTGGGTCCAGAACAAAATCTTCTCGACTACCAAATACCAGCTCTATTTTTACAGCAGAAGCTAATATTAACAGCTCTTCAATATATTAATAAACACCGTAAATATAAACAAAACATAATCTTTTCCGATTCTCTTTCGTGTCTTCAGGCTATTAAAAATCTTTCTTGCAAACATCCTCTTTTATTAGAAATTGTTGAATTGTATAATGTGCTTGCTACTGGCCAATGCGACATCGTCTTTTTGTTGGTTACCCAGCCACGTTGGCATATCTGGGAACACAATGGCCGATCTTGCTGCTAAGGCAGCACTCAACAAATCTATGACACCGCTTCTTATTCCATACTCTGATTACAAAGCTAGCATTAGAACTTACATCCGCGATCTGATGCAGAAGAAGTGGGACACCTAGGTTGGTATCAATAAATTCCGTGGAATAAAACCCTATATTGATTACACCTACTTGGGTTGTCAGTCCAGATTTGAAGAGGTCATCATGCGACGATGTCGCATTGGCCATACAAGGTACACTCACAAATACTTGTTAAAAGGTGAAGATCCTCCGTTTTGTATCCCTTGTGATGAAAGAGTCACAGTCAAGCATCTCCTGCTTGACTGTGTTGAATTCTCCATCATAAGGGATAAATATTTCAATGTTAAAACTGTTAAGGATCTATTTAATACTGTTAATCTTCATTTAATTCTTGCTTTTTTAAAAGAAATTGATTTAATTAATGGATTTTGATAAATGTTCTGTAGATAGATGTGTTTTAATGATTGGTAGTTTTGATTAGTAACTTAGATTGTTAGTGGCTGTACCCTCAAGGGGGTTGAAGTATCGTAAAATTATTGTCCCCCTGAGAGGGTACGTAAGTCCCAAACTTTGAAAATCAATTTAACCTTACCAGGATTTTGAAACGTAGTATTCTTGTTATTTTAATTTTCGCTAACATTTCTTATAATCGCCAACGGCTGAAGGGCTGGTGTAAATCCAACTAGGGTCCATGCAGGTAGCAAAGGTACTGTAATTCCCCAATGTCCCTAGTATGGTGATCTACCTTCTGTTGTTGGCGATCTATAGCCTGTATTTATATTGTATTGTCCCAATAGTGCTATTAGTTTTAAACTTTCCACGCTAGTTTTAATTCTAATTGTGATATTCTAGTTCTTTTACTGTCCTTCGTCGACAGGTTTTTATATTATGCATATATTCCACTTCAAAATCAAATTTGTTCTCGTCACGATATGGCTGCAATATTGCCGATGTGACGTTAAATAATAACTCACTCACTCACCATTTGTGGAAGATTTAGGAGATTGTATTTGTTTAATATCATCTTTCAAAACTTTTAATTTCTGCTTTGATATTTTGTATAATTCATTTGGTGTTTGTGTGCAGGTACCTGTTCTTCTTATATTTATATTAGATATCATTTTATGACCAATGTAAGTTCAATTGTGTAAATTAATACGTATTTGAGACATCGTTTTCTACTTGATTATGTTCATGTCTGTGCTCTTCAATTGTCCAAACTGTTGATGAAGAATTACTGTCATTTTGGACTGTACAGAATCAACAATACTCTGCTCTGACGGGAATACATTTTAGCACTCCTAACACAGAGTGAAAGACAATTCAATACAGGCTCATACAGCAAGTATTTCAGATATTAAGGATTTTAGATATCAACTCACGCCCTTTTTGTTTACAAGTAACATGTGTCAGTTACACTTTGACAATTCCTCAGCAACCCCCATTTCCATTCAGCTGGTAACATATTTAATTCAATGTGTTAATTGTTATACTTTCTGCTTCAAGGCATCATCACAAGAAAAGAATCAGTCTGAAGTATCTATCGAATCGGCCTCACGCTGCTATTGTACAAGTCTTTAATTTCAGAACAAATCTGTCATCTACTTACCAAAAACCAAAGAGAACTTGAGTGAAAGAGAATTTGATTGCTGGACGTACGTGACGATATAACCACTTACTCACAATGTCACAAAAACAAAGGAACTGATAATTGACTTTCGGAGTAAACCCACAGAACAGCTTCCAGTGATAATCAACGGTGAATGTGTTGAGACAGTGTCGGAGTATAAGTATCTGGGAACCTTCATTGACTCTAAGCTGAACTGGAACTCTAACACTGAAGCCCTATACAAAAAGTGTCAACAACGTCTTCATCTCATGCGTAAACTGAGATCTTTTAATGTTAACCCATCTGTGATGTCATCTTTTTATGTAGCATTTATTCAGAGTATTTTAACATTTTCCTTCCATTGTTGGTACGGGTCTCTCTCAGTTCATCTCAAATCTAAAATAGACAAAATTGTTAACACTGCAAGTTAAATCGCTGGAGTCAGATTTGAATGTTTATCATCAATATATGAGCGGCAAATCGTGAATCAAGCTGTCAAAATCATATCTGACCGTACTCACTACTTAAATTCGGAATACAACCTTCTCCCTTCAGGCCGCCGATACAAAGTTCCAATTGTGAAAATTAAGAGAGCCCGTACATCCTTTATTCCAAATACCATATCTCTCTTAAACAAATGTGAAGATGCCCAAATCAAAGAATTTATGTAAATATGTTTGGTATCTGTCTAATGTGTCAGTAGCTCTGCTGATGTAACACAAATTCCTGAAAAGGCATTAAAGTATTATTCTATTCTATTCTATTCTATTCTATAAAGCCGGTGTTGAAATAAGGGCTAGCCTGTAAGCTGGCTAATTGTATATTTACAAGTCATGGAGATATGGCTGAAAACCTTTCAAACATGACTGACTGATTGAGTTTGGTTTTACGCCACTTTATATATATCGCTATATCCAATATTGAAGTAAGTCATGTGTTATGATTTTGAAATCCAACCTGACATTCCAATTATGTGCGCAAATAAGTAAATCATCGAAGTGATAAGCACAATATGTTCAAGTATAAATATGACAGTCATTGAAATAAATAACTATACACAACATGGAAGTAAGTCATGTGTTATGATTTTGAAATCAAACCTGACATTCCAGTTATGTGCGCAAATAAGTAAATCCTCGATAAGCACAGTTGGTGCCCATTGATGAGCCTATCCATGGCATTGATGATTAATACCCCTAATTCATTTGAATGTTATCAACACGATTAGAAGAACGACGAAAGATACTTTTCTAAAAACATTCTTTACATCTGTTAGACACTGCATTCAACATGGATTGCCCTCCATGTACGGCCCCTCAGCAATGGACCGTGTGGAAACATACTTCACTATATGTACATTTCCTCCTTCACAAGCCATATCTAGGATGTTATCACCAGCATCATTTATAATTGTTAGATCAGCCTCATGATCAACAAGTAAGAAGAAGACATCCTCATGTCCCTCACACGCTGCAATCATTGCTGGTGTGTCTCCTTCCCCATCCCGACTGTTGATATCCACAATGTCGTGTGTGAGGAGGTACCGTACAATCTCAATACTGTTTCCACCACAGGCCAAATGAAGGATGTTGTTATTATCTTCATCCAGGAGTGACAGATCAGCTCCCCATTTCACAAGTAAGTCAAACACGTCATCACATTCAACCATGGCTACTTGCATTACTGGTGTCCAGCCGCCCCCATCTCGACTGTCAATGTCCACATTTTCATGTGCCAGAAGGTACTTGATTATCTCAACATTTTCTCCTTCACAAGACAAATGAAGGATAGTTTCTTCGTTATAACCTACTTGTGACACGGCTCCTCCTGCTTCAACAAGGATGTCAAACACATCCTTATCACCATTATAAGCTGCATGTATTACTAGTGTCAAGCCGTATATATCTCGATTGCCGATGTCCCCAATGTCTTGTGTCAGAAGGTACTTGATTATCTCAACATTACCCCCATCACAGGCCAAGTGAAGGATGGTTTCTTTGTCGCCATCCACTAGTGACAGATCTGCTCCTGCTTCCACAAGAGCGTCAAACACATCCTTATGTCCATTATTAGCTGCATGCAATACTGGTGTCCAACCGTCATTGTCTCGAGTGTCGATATCCCACATTTTCCGTGCGAGAACATGTTTTACAATTTCTACATTTCCTCCAATACAAGCCAAATGAAGAATGTTCTTATCGTCATCATCCAATAAAGACAGGTTGGCACCTTCCCTGACAAGTAGGTCAAACACTTCTCTATGTCCCTCCTTTGCTGCATGCACCACAGGTTTCATGTTGTCCTTCCCTATTGAGTTGAAATTTTCCCAGCCATCAGACAAAATGTTCCTGACTCCCGCCTAATCTACAATGATGCAGGCCTCGAAGATGGGAGTGTTCAATTTAGTATACACTTGAGTCTGATTCCAATTTTCTGAAGGAACACATAACATCATTAGATAGCACCTAACGATTAATATCCTAGAAAAGTAATTGTGTGTGTAAAAAGGAATAACGGTTTTCCTATATATTACATACGGACTTTAACTTTACCTGGTCAGTTAATGTGCCTTGGTAGTATTTGTATATAGGTGAGATGTGAGGCCAATTTTTAAATATATTGAAGAATCTACGTTATTCCCACGACTGAAATTAATCAGATATCGGCTTAGGTCAAGCGGTATTTCGAAAAATATTCGTACCAACTGTAAATAAAATACATCAGATAAATATTTATGTGGTTTCAATCACATTTTGAAAACTGTAATAGACCTAAAAACAAGTTCTTTTTTTTTCTGAGGTCACATGTATATTTAGAGAGAGATAATATGCATGCCATATATACATAGAGACAAGTTAAGGACCTCCCATGTTAAAATGCCGGTGAACATTTAGTTGTAACAAAAGGTGACAGGTCCATTAGTATAAATCTATCATTATTGTCTTGTCAATGTGTGGCCACAAGTCATGAAACAACACAACAACAATGAAATCTGAACGCCACAACACAACAAAACATGCACGTGCATCCTAACAACCATGATTTTGTCCCAAATGCAGTATGATCATGCATGATAATTTCCCTTTATCCAAAACACTGTTGTGAGTAGGATTGAATGGCCAGCCATGAGTCCTTATATAAACCCTATTGAGCACATTTGGGACTTCATAGTTTATCGCGTGCAGGCGAGAGACCCTCTTGTCCAGAACTTGAGAGATTTGGAACAAGCATTACAGAAGGAATGGCACAGATTACCCATGGTTCTCTTTCAACGTCTTGTAAGGGGTATGAATCGAAGGGTTGCGGCCGTCATCCGGGTAAATGGAGAAAGTAAGCATTACTGACTCCAAACTCTTGTGAACACCCTATATTACCTCTGTGACAAACGCCATCATCTAATGTTAGTTGATAAACTTATCAACGTCATAGTTTCATGCAGTATTCATTTTCATAAAATTAACTCAATTGCATTTCATATTCTATTGCAATAAACGTCATTGTGAATTCGTTAATTCTGGTGTTTTTGTATTGCCAAATGATTGTTCTTTGATATGTGTCCCATTTTGCACACGTCCACTATATCATGATTACTGGATTATCATTAGTGTTCTCCCCGACATCCAAAAAGACTGGGGGTGCCTAACTTTTTTTCTCTATGTATATATGAATGGTACTACTTTGCTATTCTCTATAGTTTTTAAACGATTCTAAACAAACAACCTCCACCGAAAAGGTCATTGTTTTGTACGAAGCTTGTGTAAGCGTCATAAATACAATGTGCTTTAACATCTGACGTATTAATGTACATGTTATTGCAATGAACCATTCAAGTCTTTTCAAGACATCGTCTATTTATATATATCTCACATAATTGTGTTTGATACCTGCAGCGGGGCAATTCAAAAGGAAACCAAAACGCAATTAATTGTGACAACCATTATTGGCATGTGAGTATGTGACATTTTGGGCTGTATGTTACGCCTCTGCGGGCTAATGGTCACGGACATTCATACATGAAGGTATATATTGAAACCCATAACCGTTCATGGTACGACAATACTGTTGCAGGGGTGAGTCAATATAGACAACTAGCTGCCAGTGTGCTTGGGAGGTGACATTTATTCAACAGTATCAATCGATGACTTGATCAGTCAGTCATCCAGGAGGAAAGTATAATATACATTAACCTAAACATGCAACACGTACAGTTACACATACTTTATAGTTATTATTGGTACTAATACATAAAACACCATATAGTTGTTGTAATTTATTATATAAATGATCTTTCTAATGATCATAGGTGTGATACTTAAATCACAAGGAGATAATTCAATAGCAAACAATGTTTACATATCCTGTGGGTGACACCGGGGTATATACCCACACTAAGTACGGGAGTGTCACATTTCTAAAACAAATAATACTGACAATATCTTATTATGGCGACATTACATTATAGAAACTTCTTACTCAGCATTACATTCAACCTACCAATCAAATCATGCTCTCACACATACATACAGTTTGACATTTCATACTGATAAATTAAAAGCTATATTGGCTACTTGATATAAAATATTGATAATTACAATACTTTATATCATTTATAGCATATTCAATCCATGGGTTAGAATTCTCTTCAGGTAAAAAAATCTAAAGTAAATATCTAATGCGAGCTAGGTTGCGTGGGTTGTCCAGTGCATAGTTGTAAACAGTGTGATCAGAAAAGTGTGCAAATGCTATCAACACAATATCCTGTTACAATACTCAGAGAACAGTCATAGCCAAATGCGCTGAAACGAAATAAAAGATATTTTGATATAATTACACACTTAAGAAGGTTAAGAATATCATTATCATTCATTCAATACATCGATGAAAAAGCATTGATAAAACAAATACACAATAAGAACAAGATGTGTTTCCGTTCCTACTGTACAAACAAGCGGCCTAAAACGGTATATCAGTACAATACAGAATGTAACTTCACAGGAATGTGCATGATAGAAAAGAGAACATTTACCATATTCTCGGACAATTTTGATGCACATCATCCGTACTTATTCTTGATAGTGGAATATCTACCGTATCACTTCAAAGGATTTATCAACAGCTGTAGAAGCCAAACGATAGATGCTGTGTTCATTCGTAAACACAGATGGGCAACTTTCAAGAAACTCAAACAGTCCCCAAGTCACCAAGGGCTTGCGCACATCGATTATTTAATTGCATCACTGCCTCTTTTACTGGTCTATGGAAGGTTCTGTACCAGAACACATTTTACAACACATGTGTTCGACGATATTGTAGGCATCAATCAATGTTGTCGGGTTGACTATTTTGAAAGCAGCATGTCAAACCATACCTGGTGTTACTGACATTTTCCTGCCAAAATCTTTACTTTGGATGTCAACAATTTCTCATGTGAGATTAACCTTTAACTATCTCAATATTCCCTCCACCATATGAAGAATGGTGATATTGTCATAGTGGTATATCAACTTCCCTTTAAAGTGCGTTAAATAAATTCAAAGGTTTTCTGACTGTTTTTTTGTAATTGTTTATCAAATCCCCTTTTCGGCATCATCTGATAGAGACGATTTCCACCTTTCCTGGCAAGTAGACATAAAGCTGTTCAGTGTACCTGTCAACTGGAAGTGTTCTACTGTGATGTTTCACATATCACCAAGTTCCTTACACTACTTCTATAAATTCCGATATGACACTATGACATTTCTCCTAATCCGGTGAGTTTTCTTATGAGCATGAACTATCATGCAAGCTATGTACATCAACCCCATCCATTGTATAACACATTTACCTGGCTTCCCATCATTTGTATAAGCTTTAATTCAATCCTTGTATGTCACCTAACTGGCTTCCAATCACTTCCTCAATCTCCTATACAAGCAGACAGACAGACAGGTTTATTCGGTAATTTAGGCCCAAGGCCCATAATACATACATTTGGCAAAAGTAAATACATACTGAGTAAAGCTGAGTAAAGTTTAGTATTGATTTGATTTACAGTTATTCATTCCTTCTACGGCGAACTTGTGAAAGATATTTACTCAATGATTTTAAAATATGTATATTGTCTGATGACAACAATCGGATGAAGGTTTCAATTGTCGGTGGTTGAGTCAGATGTATTGAAAAACAATCAGATCTTTGTTGGGAATATTTTGGAGATATTAATAAAATATGGAGTTCATCTTCGATGTAATCAAGGCCAGCAGCATGACAAAAAAGGCAGAGACGTTCATTATACGGGGTGTTTGTATGACTGCCACATTCCACTGCGAGTCTGAAGTTACAGCACCGAAACTGAGTTATGATTTTACGTTGATTTGGTAGCAATTAACTGGTTAAATATGGTTTGACGCTTAGAGATGATTTAAATTGTGAATAGTATTTACATTTGGGTGACAAAAATAGTGATGCATGCCAGTTTTGAGTGAAGCAGTCATAGAATCTCTGTTTAAAAATTACCATGAATGTGGATATACAGCCTATGTATTGAGATATCCATAAGAAAACAAATCCGTATTGGAATAATATCAACCTAATATGAGAAACCCATGTTGCTTTACCATTATCATCGAGAGTTTTCATCATTAGATATGCCTGATAAGGAAGTCTGTTTCGTGGAAGCTGTATCAGTCTGCACCAGTACTTGACTGCTCTTGAGAGATATTGATACTGGAGGGGAGCTCTCCCACACTCTCCCAGAACCATGTTGTTGTTGGTAGTTTTACTAACTTTAAGAAATGACTTGTAAATCTGGTGTGCACACTTTCAATAATTTTACAGTAGCTTGTTCCCCATATTTCAGATCCGTAACAGAGTATTGGTGCAATCATAGAGTCAAATATCTTAAACAATTCATGATGGTTAATATATCCAAAACGTTTTTGATAATTGTTGATAGAAAATATGGCCTTCCTCGCTTGAGACAATAAACAGGTTTTCGCTTTCGTCCATGATAGTCTTGGAGTAAACACAATACCTAAGTATCCATACATATTAACAACCTCAATTTGTGTTTCATTTAAAAACCACTTCTCATAATCCCTGAGCGGACCTCCATTGCGAAATACCATTATTTTAGACTTTTTCAGGTTCACCTTCATTCCAGTCTCTGCACAAAACTTTTCAACAACATTAATTTTCCTTTGGAGCTGCATAGCGCTGTCAGATACAGATGAGACATCATCAGCAAATAGGAGAGAATAAACATCCTTGGCTTGTGAAGAAATAAAAACCCTTATCCACCATCATTCTCCAGTATTT